TCATGTCACGCTGACATCGCGTAATACAATCGCGCAATGAAAACATGGCTTTTTTCCCTAAAATACCTCATTTCTCGGTTTATATAAAACATTCTTAATTTGTACACTCGGCTTGGGACTCCTTGTGTTATAGCGCTATTTCTTGTCGTAAATCTTTCTTTTGGATGTTAAAAAAAAACCTGTCACTTTTGCCTCAAAGTTGCGTAATATCACATTGTTTAGTATTAATATCTGTCGTCACCATACTTACCCGTGTGGATGGTTAGGTGCAGACGTGGTCAGCTAATGATCTCCGGATTTGAGTTACTTGGATTCAGGTCCGAATCACGTGGACCTGTCCATTCAGGACCTGACCACCGAACGTCTGCACTTTATCACACCGAACTTAGTTCGATGGAAATTAAATTGAAAATCAATTGTAGTCATGAAAAAAAAAAATTGCTTCTTCTCTGAGCAGATAACCATTGCAGTTGGCTACGAATTAGCTAATGACCTGAGAGTCTGCTTGGCACTCTCTATATCCGATATCCTGAGGGCACATGTCGTACCCAGACTGCGCGCGGCTCCTATGATATTAACCTTGGTTACCATGTAACCTCATTTAATATCTGTCGTCACCATACTTACCCGTGTGGATGGTTAGGTGCAGACGTGGTCAGCTAATGATCTCCGGATTTGAGTTACTTGGATTCAGGTCCGAATCACGTGGACCTGTCCATTCAGGACCTGACCACCAAACTGACATTTCTCCGAAATTTCACCACTCCAAGTAACCAAAAATCCCAGGCCCCCAGACCGAATCCCAACTACATTCACCCGGGTACAAACTATGCCTCCATAGATGTTCCTCCATAAGTTGACATCAGCACCGCCGCCATGCACATTTAGTGGCTAGTTCTGCTGCTCTTCCAAAATAAAAACAGGGCGAGGCCAGGTTATTACACCATACCGCGCTATTTTGACCTTAGCCACTGTCGCCAGTGACACTAGCTGCACCCGTAGCAGTTAGCTGTACCCAGAACGTGTAGCTAAGCTAAGTCGCCATGACATATTAAACAGCAAAGCGCCATACCCAATTGCTAAGCTATGTCGCCATTTAGAAAATTAGCCGACAGAGGCTAAACCCTGGTGCTAAGCTATGTCGCCATTGAGAATGTAGCAAAGGGACCAAACCCTGTTGTTAAGCGATGTCGCCATTTAGACATTATTAGCAAAGGGATGAAATCCAGTTGATAAGCTATGTCGCCCTTTGGAAATTAGCAAAGGGACCCCACCCAGTTGCTAAGTTATGTCCCCATTTAGAAATTAGCCAAGGTACCACGCCCGGTTGCTAAGCTATGTCGCCATTTAGAACTTAGCAAAGGGACCAAACCCATTTGCTAAGCTATGTCGCCATTTAAAATTAGCAAAGGGACCAGACCCAGTTGCTAAGCTATGTCGTCCTTTAAAAAATAGTAAAGGGCCAGACCTCGTCGCTAAGCTGTGTCGCTCTTTAAAAATTAGCAAAGGGATCAAACCCAGTTGCTAAGCAATGTCGCCATTCAGAAATTAGCAAATGGACCACACCCAGTTGCTAAGCTGTGTCGCTCTTTAAAAATTAGCAAAGGGACCATACCCAGTTGCTAAGCAATGTCGCCATTCAGACATTAGCAAAAGGACCAGACCAGTTGCTAAGCAATATCGCCATTCCGAAATTAGCAAAGGGACCCAACCCAGTTGCTAAGCAATGTCGCCATTCAGCAATTAGCAAAAGGACCAAACCCAGTTGCCAAGCAATGTCATCATTCAGAAATTAGCAAAGGGACCAGACCCAGTTGCTAAGCAATCTCGCCATTCAGAGATTAGCAAAGGGACCAAACCCAGTTGCTAAGCAATGTCGCCATTCAGAAATTAGCAAAGGGACCAGACCCAGTTGCTAAGCAATCTCGCCATTCAGAGATTAGCAAAGGGACCAAACCCATTTGCTAAGCTATGTCGTCATTTAAAAATTAGCAAAGGGACCAGACCCAGTTGCTAAGCTATGTCGTCCTTTAAAAAATAGTAAAGGGACCAGACCTCGTCGCTAAGCTGTGTCGCTCTTTAAAAATTAGCAAAGGGATCAAACCCAGTTGCTAAGCAATGTCGCCATTCAGAAATTAGCAAATGGACCAGACCCAGTTGCTAAGCAATGTCGCCATTCAGAAATTAGCAAAGGGACCAGACCCAGTTGCTAAGCAATTTCGCCATTCCGAGATTAGCAAAGGAACCAAACGCAGTTGCTAAGCAATGTCGCCATTCAGAGATTAGCAAAGGGACCAAACCCAGTTGCTAAGCAATGTCATCATTCAGAAATTAGCAAAGGGACCAGACCCAGTTGCTAAGCTGTGTCGTTCTTTAAAAATTAGCAAAGGGACCAGACCCAGTTGTTAAGTAATCTCGCCATTCAGAGATTAGCAAAGGGACCAAACCCAGTTGCTAAGCTATGTCATCATTCAGAAATTAGCAAAGAGATCAGACCCAGTTGCTAAGGGCTATTAGTAAAACACGGAGCACGGAGCACGGAGCACACGGAGCACACAGAGCACGGAGCACACGGAGTACGGAGCACACGGAGCACACGAAGTACGGAGCAGTAGAAAAACGAAAATCCTTTATAATAAAATACACTGTTTACTATTACAAATTTTTGTTATTATTAACAAAGTTTTTTTGCGTATTACACGTTGGGGAAGTAGGAAAATGGGGCTTTTACTGAAAAACATATATGATGCAAAACCAGGCTGCCAAAAGCCATAGTATTTAAAATGGGATTGTGAAACTCGTTATCTTACATCTATCAAGCTTATGTAGTTATATTATTCCGATGGGCAACACATAAAGAAACACTTACTGTAGAGAACAGCCGATATATTTCGTTACCCCTGCCAAAAAATAGCCAAGTATACTCATCTTTCAATGTAGCGGATCGACTGAACATTAAATCTTGTGATGAGAAAAGTGAATTTTCGGTTTATCCTTCGGCTCAGTGACCGGTGGCAGTGAGCTGTACAGCCGGCTAAGTTTAAACCGTTATACAGTACATCATTACTGCTTTCATTCTTTCAATTCGTTTTGAATATTCGGAATCATTCACAATATTATAAAACTGTATAAGATAGCTTTAGAACTATAAATGCTGTAGAATGAAATAAATAAAGAAAAGTAAGTTTTCAAATCGCGGTATTTGCCGATAAATCGGTAATCGCTACAGAAAAACAGAACAAATTACAGTATTAAAATCACAACAAACCGCGGAAGTGGGACAATTTTTGTATTTTTACTGTAAGACATGTAGCCATGTACGAAATCCATACAGAAGTGAGTGTGTATTCTATACTTTTGAAACAACTAAATCAGACTTCGGAAAATTTGACCGTATTAAAGCTGCTTTTGGGAATTTAGATTTTAGGTCTTCGTTTTACATGTACCCAGACCAGTAAATATTTTTGAGTTTTGAATTTTGTGTATAAATCAACACCAACGCCTCAAAGGCGAAAAGGAGGGCAAGATTGTTAGAATTGCTATTGTAAACATGAGCAGTTTCGAGCATAAATATAAAATTGAAACGAGTACTTTTTACACATCTGATTGACTAAATTCAGGAAGCCATTTAAGTGTACGCGTATTTGTTACAATTCCGATCAACTCTGCCGTGCAGCACGGCAGAGCCAGAGGCTGAGTAAATTGTAAACAAATTGTAAGCTTGTGAGAATCAAAGTTCAAAACTCAAAAATATTTACTGGGTACATGTAAAACAAAGACCTAAAATCTAAATTCTCAAAAGTAGCTTTAATACTGTCAAATTTTCCGAAGTCTGATTTAGTTGTTTCAAAAGTATAGAATACACACACACTCTTCTGTATGGATTTCGTACATGTTCTGCATGTCTTACAGTAAAAATACAAAAATTGTCCCACTTCCGCGGTTTGTTGTGATTTACTGTAATTTGTTCTGTTTTTCTGTAGCGGTTACCGATTTATCGGCAAATACCGCGATAAAACGTAGTTTTCTTTATTTATTTTATTCTACAACATTTATAGTTCTACAGCTATCTTATACAGTTTTATAATATAATAGTGAATGATTCCGAATATTCAAAACGGATTGAAAGAATGAAAGCAGTAATTATGTATAACGGTTTAAAATTCACTTCTCTCCATGACAAGCTTTTATAATGTTCAGTCGATCCGCTACATTGAAAGATGAGTATTTGGCTATTTTTTGGCAGGGGTAACGAAATATATCGGCTGTTCTCTAAGTGTTTCTTAATGCGTTGGCCATCGGAATATAATATAACTACATAACTCATAAGCTTGATAGATATGTGACGAGTTTCACAGGCACAATCCTATTTTAAATACTATGGCTTTTGGCAGTTTCGCATCATATGTGTTTTTCAGTAAAAGCCCCATTTTTCTACTTCCTCAACGTGTAAAACGCGAAAAAACATTATTAATAAGAACAAAAATTTGTAATAGTAAACAGTGTATTTTATCATAAAGGATTTTCCTTTTTCTACTGCTCCGTAGTTCGTGTGCTCCGTGCTCCGTGTGCTCCGTGCTCCGTGCTCCGTGCTCCGTGTGCTCCGTACTCCGTGCTCCGTGCTCCGTGTGCTCCGTGCTCCGTGTTTTACTAATAGCCGTTGCTAAGCAATGTCGCCATTTAGAAATTAGCAAAGGGACCAGACCCAGTTGCTAAGCAATGTCGCCATTCCGAAATTAGCAAAGGGGCCAGAACCAGTTGCAGTAAGCTATATCGCCATTTAGAAATTAGCAAAGGGATCAAACCCAGTTGCTAAGCAATGTCGCCATTCAGAAATTAGCAAAGGGACCAGATCCAGTTGCTAAGCAATGTAGCCATTCAGAAATTAGCAAAGGGACCAGACCCAGTTGCTAAGCAATTTCGCCATTCCGAGATTAGCAAAGGGACCAGACCCAGTTGTTAAGTAATCTCGCCATTCAGAGATTAGCAAAGGGACCAAACCCAGTTGCTAAGCTATGTCATCATTCAGAAATTAGCAAAGAGATCAGACCCAGTTGCTAAGCAATGTCGCCATTTAGAAATTAGCAAAGGGACCAGACCCAGTTGCTAAGCAATGTCGCCATTCCGAAATTAGCAAAGGGGCCAGAACCAGTTGCAGTAAGCTATATCGCCATTTAGAAATTAGCAAAGGGACTAAACCCAGTTGCTAAGCAATGTCGCCCTTTAGAAATTAGCAAATGGACCAAAATCAGTTGCTAAACTATGTCGCCATTTAGAAATTAGCAAGGGGACCAAACCCAGTTGCTAAGCTATGTCGCCATTCAGAAATTAGCAAAAGGACCAAACCCAGTTGCTAAGCAATGTCGCCATTTAGACATTAGCAAAGGGACCAAGCCCAATTGCTGAGTGATGCCGCCATTTAGAAATTAGCAAAGGGACCAAATCGAATTGCTAAGCTATCTCGTCATTTAGAAATTAGCAAAGTGACTAAACCCAGTTGCTAAGCAGTGTCGCAATTTAGAAATTAGCAAAGGGACCAAACCCAGTTTCTAAGCAATGTCGCAATGTAGACATTAGCAAAGGGACCAAACCCAGTTGCTAAGCTATGCCGCCATTTGGAAATTAGCAAAGGGAGCAAACCCGGTTTAACACAATGTCAAGGAAAATTGGCACACGCATTTGTCAAGCGATAAGTGTATGCCAATTTCGGTCGCTGCCTGGTCAATCGCTTTGAGATGCGGAGCACATAGGGCCGAGTTAGGAGGTTCTAATGTGAAATGGTCGTCTAGGTAATGTAGTAACTTGAGAACGTGCTAATTATTCACCAAGCACTAGTGAAGGACTATTGAAAAATCCTGGTGTTGAGCGCAAGCCAAACGGTAATGCTAGATCAACATAGAAACCACTTTGTCAAAACATTCCTAATAAATGACGGGCTGACGGATGCAATGGACTTATGCGATAAGCGCTTTTAATATCCAATTTACCCATTAACGCAGCATGTCCGGCTTTAATAACTAGTGAAATAGCCTGAGTTTATCTATTGGTCGAGTGTCGAGTGTCGAGGGTAAAAAGTCGAGGGTGAGGGTAAAAGGTCGAGGGTAAAAAGTCGAGGGTAAAAAGTCGAGGGTAAAAAAGTCACCAAAAAAATACAAATTCAATATTAAGGCCAGGTAACCGCTTCGGGTAAGGCCATAGCGACGTCTACGTGTCTTCTCGGCAGTATTGTTATATAATATGCGTTTCACGCACACATGTTGGGACGTTCGCCTTTATTGGCATGTCAGGTTATTGACATATCCGACATGCCGCCATCCACTGGCTCGAATAAACATATTTGGCGGATATCACGCCTCATATATCCTAAGTCCTTACTTGCATCTTGCATTCTGTTCTTTGGCTTAAAATTTATTTGATCGATATTTCGCTTTCAATTTCGCTGAAAATATTTTCAGACGAATTATGATTCCGATGCTGTACGCGCGCAAGGTGTACTAGGGTTATTTTCCCATGCAATCAAAAGCCCTAAAAAGAAGTTACTCATCACCTCAATCTGCTTTGCGGAATAATAATTTAGCCGATTATTTAATTAAGCGCATACAGTATACTAAAAAGAACCTTGTATATATATCAAGTTGCGATATAAATTCAGTGCCCCTACATTACTATCGGTTTATTTTAATATTGCCGGTTAAAGCAGGGCGCTTTGTTTTAAAGAGCCCTCCTTAGTATGTAATAGGCTATATTCTGTATGTGTAGAAAATAAACAATATATAACTGATTGCATTGCTGTCTGCACGGCTGCATGCAAATGCATCAGGACGCAAAGCCACGCTGTGGCATATTAGGCCTACATTTAAAACGCAGAATACGCCACGTGTCGTATATAGTATATGTGCGTGGAACGTATATTATAGGTTTGGTTATATTTGGTTTAGAAGTGCTCATATAACAACGCTGCCGAGAAGACACGTAGACGTCTATGGCCGTACCAAAGCGGTTACCTGACCTTAATATTGTATTTTTTTGTTATTTTTTTCACCGTTGACTTTTCACCCTCGACTTTTTACCCTCGCCTTTTTACCCGCGACTTTTAACCCTCGACTTTTTTTACCCTCGACTTTTTGCCCTCACCCTCGACTTTTTACCCTCGCCCTCGACTTTTTACCCTCGCCCTCGACATTTAACCCTCGACACTCGACACTCGACCAATAGATAAACTCAATAGCCTCGGATATTAACCCCGTCATTTACGCTGTGCCCAAAGGCCCCGGCAGTGGCGTCGCCAGGGAGGGAACTGGGGGGGACGAGTCCCCCCCAGTTGTTCTAAAGACCAATTTTGAGATTTTTCTAAATCTGAAGAGAAAAGGGGGGGGGGGGTACGATTATTTTAATTTCTAACATTTCTAATGTTTTTTCAATAATGGGTGTGATGAATTAATTTGAGATACGAATTTTGAATTCAATTAACATTGTTTTTGATAACGTAAAGAATAACATTATAACATGAAGTACAAATACTTCGTCATCTCAAACCGGAAGTCAAACCTTTGCTTTTGCTCATTGGATTCATATTTTCTTTGGCACCATTTATGGAAATCATAGATCCTCATAAATGGAAGCGCGCGACCCCTTTACGGAGACCGTCAATGAAGCGAATCGAGCATTAATAGTAAATAATTTGGGTCCTATTAGACCACTTATCGAATTTCCCGTATCAACATCTGGAAAAAGAACCTTCAAGTTCCGATCTCGTTGGTATGACCTCCATTCATGGCTAGAATATTCTGTACTGAAAGATGCAGCATTCTGTTTTAACTGTAGGTGCTTCGGGACACTTGGTAAGTTCACTAATATACAAACTCGTGATATTTACAACTTTCAAGCATTTAGGAATTTAATATGAAGTCTGCTATCACTGTTTTTTTAAGAAAATTGCGTTTGAATGTATGATCCTAGGTAGCCCCTAATTAGTAGCAATGTTACGATTGCGATGCATATAAACAAGGGCAAATAATGTTAGCCAATCAGCGCGTTTGTTTACATTTTGCGTTCTTGACCAATCAGAATGCCTGAAATTCGAAACATGTAAACAAAAGGAGTGAGAAAATCACACCTTGTTCTACGCCCTCGGTGACATTCGATATTAATTTGTTTTCGCCAAAACTGACAAATTCTGATAAAGCATGCTTTCTTCTTTAATTTCCTCGGGGGGATTTTTTAAATTCGATCTAGAACACGAAATATTTATGTTTGAATAACAGTGTTTCGACGCGCGTAAAATAGCAGACTCTCACTTGCACTATCTTTACACACACATAAAAAAATGGTAGATTTGGCAGTTTAAACTTATTTTCCTCACACCACAGCTGACATGTTTTTAAATATTACCTATCTGATCTCATCGATCTCATTTCGCATCGGAAATGCGTCACAACGATCCACGACTGACAGGTACAATATCGCATGACTCATTACTGTACATTAAAAGTACCCGGTTGGCAAAATGGCGATTGTCTGACTGACCTTCGCGAAGGGCTTAATATTTTTGCCAATAAACTGTTCACGAGGGTTTCGTTCTGTTCGTCTTCTGGTTCGTCGTCAATCGTCATCGGCTGCCTCACTTTCTTGGTCGCTTTCGTCCTCTTCAAAGCAAGTCGCCGGGGCAATCAGCGTTAATATTTGCTGTCTTTCGAAGCCCTTCCAAGAGCTTCAACATTTGCCAACGTTGTTGCTTCACAAACTGGGCAATCGCTGATGTTGGGCAGGATGCATTCGATGTGGAACGTAGGTCCACAACCACGGAAAACGTTCCAAGTGGATTAACCTTTTCGCAGGCAGGCAAATCGCAGGTAAGATTTATATTTTATATTTACAGATCTTGATACATTAATAGTCAGCACCCTTGGAGATTGTTCCAAAATATGAGTGTGTGCCAAAGTTAAAATATTACTCATAATCTCCAGAACATGTTTGGACAATGTTTTGAATCACTGCAGTTTAGAATTAGCAGTCGTTTTAAAGACAACAGAACTGGCAGCCATGGCACCCATAACTATTCAGTGTACAATACCAGACAATGTAAATTACCACCTCCCCCAACCCAGAAGTAGGCAGTTTTTATTTCCCAGCACTGCATAATCAAAATTGCTGGATTGTATAAATGTCTGGCTTTGTCTCAGTGGCCCTGCTTTGCCCCATGAACCCCACACTTCCTAGATTCAAGCAAGCAGGGACTTATATTGACTGGTACTTAGGTCCTGTTTATATGGAAGCCAGGCTGGCCCGCTAAGTGAGACAGCCCGGTAAGCGAGATCTCGCTGTGTAGTTATTTTTATAGTAAAAATTATTGTGCGTTTATATGGACAAGTGGGCTGGCCAGGTTGCCGAGATCTCACTTGAAAAGAGGTGAGATCTCACTTGAAAAGAGGTG